AGAGAGAGCCTGTTTCTGAAAGAAGCTAAGAAGTTTCGTATTGGATGTGCTAACTAAAATCAGCTTCAGTGTTTACAAATTTACTTTTTGTTCAGTTCATTGACTCAGGTAGCCAGCACCGTGCCTGGGACCCGATGGGTGTTCAGAGCTATTTGACGATTGCTAGGAGGTCCATTCCCTGACAGGGATGCAGCAGTGGGGTGGCAGAAAAAGTGCTGCTCAGCCCACTCCTCACCCTCCAGCACTGGTTTGGGTTTCAGTTCTGGTCCTGCCTTTCACAAGTTACTTGGCCGTGGGCAAGCCCCTTAAGTTCTCTGCGCTTGGTGAGGGCAGGATATACTGGGCTCTGTCAGTTTTGTATTTTCACACAGTAGCTGTGTGCCTGGCACACGGTTCATGCTAAATAATAGATCTTTGTATGTTTCTGGAGCGTATGTTCTCTGCTTCCACTCTTCTCCCTCACCCACGTCCAGATCCACCAGCATTCACATCGGCCTCCAGATGGCTATGGGGAGAAGGTCACTGGGAAGAGAGGACACGAGTGGCATGCGGCAGGCGGTGGGCCCAGCCCTGCCCTCTCCCCCCGCCCGGGAGCCGCTGGCAGGCTTCCCCTCACCGTTGGCTTTGGACTCCAGCATGTCCACATCCTTGGCTGTGGCTCCTACCACCATTTTGGGATACTTTATGGGTCCCACTTGGAGCCAATGGGAGGAAACCTAATTTCCTGCCACAGGAAATGGTTCAGTTGGTGAAGAGTATATTTAAGAATTAAAAACTCTGTCAAAGGAGCTGGAGGGAGTTACTGGAGAAAGACTTGGGGCTGAGGGGAGCAGAGGGAGGGGTGGGGTCTCTTGTCAGGAAGCCAGGGGTGTGAGAAGAGATCTCTGTCGCAGATGGGAAGGAGGCAAAGGCCAGATTCCTGGGACGGTCTGAGCCCAGCAGCTGGTCTTGGGCCGCAAGGAAGGCTGGGTCAGGAGAGTGGGTCACAAATGGGTCCTTTCCTGCAACTGAGCCTGTTATGGTAACATCAGCTCAGGAGGAAGACCTGTTTATTGGACTAACTTAAAATAGACCTGGTGCCCTGTGTGGCCTGTGAGGGTGTGTGACAGACACATCAGCTAAATGAAAGCCAGCAGCTGGAACTCCCCAATTGCTGGCACTGGCATTACTTGGGAAAGCATCTGCGTGTGTTTTGAGCAGGACAGGGAGAAGGGGGACTGACTACCCGCGCTGGCTCTGGGCAGCCCAGGCTAAACCAAGAGGGGTTGTCGCCGATGCATTGGGAATGAATGGGATGCCATCCGTGCCATGAGTTAGGATTGTATGGCCCAGAAGCAGGGGCATGGACCGGGGTGGCTTCTGGAAGACACTGCCCCGCCGGCCCAGTGGTCACGTGCTCGTGAGCTGGAGAGCATGCCTGTCGCCCTGCTGTCCGTCGGGTCCAGCCCGGCAGCCAGGAGCGATGCCCCCTCCTCCGCGGGCCTGTGCGGACTGCCGTATGATCCTGGTCAAATGGCCTTGTTGTTCTTGGCGTGTTTTTACAGTTGGGTCGGTTGTTTTCTTAATATTGAGTGTCTAGAGTTCTTTATATATTTCAGATATAGGTGCTCGATCAGATAGGGACTTTGCCAATGTTTTCTCCCAATGTGTGTCTTGTCTTTTTAGTCTCTTCACAGTAACTTTCAAAGACCAGAAGCTTACATTTTGATAAGGTCGAATTTATCAACTTTTAAAAAAATGGAATGTGTTTCTGGTGTGATATCTAAGCAAGGCTTGCCTATCACAAGGTCACAGGGCATTTCTCCTGTTTCCTTCTAGAAGTTGCATTGTGTTCAGCTTTATATTAGGATCCACTCCAGCTCATGTTTGTCCTGGGGGCCAGTGTAGACTGAAGTTCATTTTTCTTGTATTTGGGTACCCAACTCTTCTGGCGCCGTTTATAGAAAAGACTGGCCTTCCTCTTTGTCTTTGGACCTTTGTCCAAAATCTGTTGTTCAGATGTATGTGACTATTTCTGGACTTTCTTAGGTTCCATCATCTCTTTCTCAGGGGGTTTGTTTGTTTGTTTGTTTGTTTTTGTTTGTTTGTTATGACCACACTGCCTTGATTACTATAGCTCCCTGTTTTTTTAAAAATTAATTATATTATCAAAAGAATTAATGTAAATAATAGTTTAAGAATTCAAGAAGTTTTTGACTTGATTCTTTCTTGCATTTTTAATTTATATTCTTCTTTGTTTCCAAGAGATTTTATTTTTAATAGTCTATAAAGCTTCCTATTCTAGGATTGCAATATCTTATTTCAATATATTAGTTGAATATATTGAATATTAGTATTTGTTCTGTTTTATTTACTTTGGAAGTTTCCTCTTTCTTGCCTCAGACTTGCCTTTGCCCTCCCTCCTTATTTCTTCCTCTGTGCCTCCTGTCAGTGGCTATCTTTAAATTGCTGGGTTTGAGCTGTGCATTCATATTTAAGAGTGAGGCAATAAAAACATATGAAATGCTCCAGCCTGTTGGCTGGTGGGCTATTCTGTATAGTCATTTTGTCAGATTGCAGGTCTCTTATGGGCTGAGCTGTTTAATTTCTTCACCGGAGGGGGTGGAGACATGGGCCATTCGTCACTGTTCTAGGTACCAAGTAAGCAAGGGAACCTCCAGGAATCCTCATCTCAGCCCTCATCTGACCTTCATCCCAAGCTGTGCCCTAGTGGCCCCATCCAGAGCCCCCTCTCCAGTTTATTTTCTGCTAATGCCATCCATGCCATGAGTTAGGGACTGTATGAGATGCCATCCATGCCATGAGTTAGAGGTTGTATGGCCCAGAAGCAGGGAGATGAACCCGATGACTTCTGGAAAACACTGCCCATCATGGCATGGATGGCCTCTCATAGGACTGGGGAGGCCCTGTTTGTGGGGCTTGGAAATGGGGGGTGGGATCTGACTGCCTCTTCTATAAACTTCCAACCCATCCTCCTGTTTTCAGCCTCATCCTGAGAAGTGTGGTGCCTTCAATCCCCAAGTCTCAGGTTCTGAGGCGCAAATGGAATCACTTTCGTTGGCTTCCTCTGATAGGTGCTTGGTTTCAGCTCTCTCCGCTCTACTGTCTGTTCCCATTCGGCCTTCTGCGTCCCACTTTCTTCTGCTATTTTCCTGCTCACTGTTTTGGGCAGAACAGAGATACATGCATCCATTCAGTTTGTTTTATTTGATCTGAAGGACATTTCTTGACCCGTCCCCCCCCCCCTTCTTCTGCCTTCCCTTTCTCCCTCATCCTTCCTTCCTCTTTGTGTCCCTCCTCTCTTCCTCCCCTCCACCTTCTCCTGTCCTCTCCCCTTTCCCCTGTACTGCTCCCCTTTAATCTCCCTTCTCCTCTGTTCTCCTTCCCTCCTCTTTGCCTGGAGCTTTCTGTGCCGTAGTTGTTCAGCCAAGCTCTTCAGGCCCTGAGAGGAAACCGCCCACGTAACATAGAAAGGATTGGATAAGGAATCAGGAAATGGAAATTCTTTGCCTGCGGGTCTGATAAACCTTCTGTCCTCTTTCACCCACTTCTTGACCCTCTTTCCCATCAAATACAAACACCCATGATGACTACATCACAGTCCACCCCACACTCAGACCTTGGCCTCGGTCACCTTCATCATCCACTGGCTACCTCATTCCTGCCTGCTCCTCAGGGAGCGCCCGTAAGTCCCATTTAGTCAGGCAAACGGGTGCCCTCCGTCACATGGGGACAGAGAGGGAGAGCTCGCAAATGCCTCTCGACCAGCCCCGCCCAGCTGTAGAAAAGCTGTGCCCACTACTCTGTCCCCGGTGCCACACAGAGTCGGTGTTTACAGAACCCATGTTAATATTGTGCGTGTGTGTGTGTGTGTGTGTGTGTGTGTGTATAGACTCCCCTTGCCTGTCTGGAACTAGACATCGTCTGAAGCCTTCTGCCCCTCTGGAAGCCGTCGGCCTGCCCACCTGCTCTTGGCTGATGGTGCTCCTGCCAGCCCTGAGCTGCCCAGTCCCGTCTGCTGCCCAGCGTGCTTGTCGTGCAGTTACCTGGGGTTTTATAAAGAAGGAGGCTCTGATGTAGTCGGGTGGGTAGGCTCTACCTTTTACATGAGCTTCCGTGGACCCGACCTGCTTGTCCCGGGCCCACCCTGGGCCTGGCCTGAGAGGTAGGGGTCACAGTTGCTCAGAGGCCAAGTCCCCACAGAGGACGTGGTTTGACAGGGACAGGGCCCTGCCATTTGCTGTGTGTCTGGCCAGTTCGGATCGGGGACAGTCGCAGAACTGAGTGTGGTGTGGTGCCAGGGGCTCGGCTGCTGCTCGGCCCGGGCACAGCCCTGTGGGTGACTCCTGGATTCCCCTGCAACCAACCCTCACCCTGAAAGGGCCTCCTGGGAGGGCTGAGTGCAGGCTCTTGCCATTTCAACGTCCCTTTAGTGTCCCTCATCCTCTCCCAGCTCATCACAAATGTCACCTAAGAAAGACACGTTTGGAGTTGTTTTTGTGTTTGCTTTTCTTGTTTTCTGGTGTGAGGGAGGCGCGGGTGAGTGTGGAGAGCGATTAGAGCCGTGCTGTGTGCTTTGTCACCCATGCACGTACCTAAAGAGCTCATTTCCTCGCTCATCCCTGGCCCCCGCCCCCTCCCCTGGCTCCTGGACCTGTGCAGACCGGGGCTCAAGTGCCCTTCCTTTTGTGTGTGTGTGTGTGTGTGTGTGTGTGTGTGTGTGTGGAGGGGTGAGCCCTCCCCCAGAGCCTGGGGGAGCCAAGCCCACTCTGCAGCCCCCAGAGGCACAGCCTTCCTTGGTGGGCCTCTGTGTGCTCCCAGGATCCCGGCCAGCACCAAGTTAGCGTTCTTTGACCTCCGGCCTCGGCGTTGAGAAGAGGGAGCGAGGGAGGGCTCCCACGTCCCTGCCAGCAGGCTCACTCGGGCCTCGGCAGGCAGGACTTCGGAGGAGGCAAGCCACATCCACCTCACTGTCTCTCTCTGCTCCTCGGTCCCGGCAGGTCCCTGGATGGCCGACTGCAGGTGTCCCATCGGAAAGGGCTCCCCCACGTCATCTACTGCCGCCTGTGGCGATGGCCCGACCTGCACAGCCACCACGAGCTGCGGGCCATGGAGCTGTGTGAGTTCGCCTTCAACATGAAGAAGGACGAGGTCTGCGTGAACCCCTACCACTACCAGAGGGTGGAGACCCCAGGTACGGCCCCGCTCCGGGGTCTGCAGATGCTTCCTGTCACCACCCCCCCCCCCCGCCCCCTTTCCTCCCCTCCTTCCTCTCCCTGAGGGAGGGTCGGCGGTGTATTTGGGGGTGCAGGGCCTCGGTTCACCTCTGCTCTGTCTCCCCCGGGCAGTTCTACCTCCGGTGCTGGTGCCACGCCACACAGAGATCCCGGCCGAGTTCCCCCCGCTGGACGACTACAGCCATTCCATCCCCGAGAACACTAACTTCCCCGCGGGCATCGAGCCGCAGAGCAATATTCCAGGTGGGTGCTGGCGGTGCGGCCCGGGCCAGCCTGGGGACATCAATCCCACTGCCCCGCGGGGGCCCCCTTGGCCTCCCCGCCGGCCTCGTGCACGCAGCGCTGGCCCCTGACTCAGAACCACATCCCCGTTGGGAGAGGACCCAGGCCTTGGCTCCCGATTCCTAACGATGCTTTTCTTGGCTGCGAGGAGCGGCGGTGTGACCCTTCCGCCCAGCCTCAGTGCAGTCATTTATTTTGGAGGCGGAAATAGCGATGCTGTGTTCCTCTCGCCGCCCTTGAGGCCGGAGCTGAAGGTCAGGCAGAATCCCCTCTGGCCGGGCTGCGGAGGCCGGGGCGCTCCGAGCCGCGTGGGCGAGCGCAGAGCTGGCCTGTGAGTCAGCCCGCTGAGTGCCAGCCCGGCGGGGGGCAGAGGCCCAGGTCGTGTGTTCCCTCCGCAGGGAGACGTGGGCCCCGCTGTCAGAGAGAGAGCGCAGGTGCTTCCAGGAGCCCCTCACTCACAGGCAGACAGCGTGTGAACTCCCCAGGCCAGGGAGACAGCCTGCAGCCGGTCCCTGCAGGGCAGTGGCTGCTGGGCAGGGGCCGTGCTGTGTTCCTTCAGAGCGTCCTTTCACCCTGAGTGAGTCTCCTGGGGACCAGCTTTCACCCCGAGTGGGCCTCCAGGGCCGAGGCTGACGGCAGGCCTGTGTGTGAGGATCACCGCAGTTGGGAGAGACCCACGTTATGGAACCAGCCTTGTCAGATCCTCATGGGCCGCTGCTCCCCAGGGCAGGCCCCTTGCTGTGTTCATTCACCGGCCTCAGACAGGGTCCGGGGTCACTCAGACAAGAAGATCGTGTTCTCTGCTGCCGCTGAACTCGCAACTCACTTGGGAAGCTATGAGGTCCCCTAAAAAGACACCGAATAGCCAGGCCTCTGCCCGGAAGCAGGCAGCAGAGCCAGAGATCGGTTTGGTTTGAGGGGTCGCCCTTTGCAGGACAGAGATGGGTGATGCTGAAGCAAGTCAGCCGCCTCCCTCGAGGGTGGTCGTCAGCCTGACCTTGAAGGAGGGGGTAACGTCAGCCTGGCAGAGGTTTTAGAAGCAGCCATCTCAGACTATGGAGTGGGGTGGTGTGAACAGAGGTGGGCATGAAGTAGCGGTCAGGGGGGAAGCCTGAGGTGGGAGGCAGAGGACAGCGGGGCCAAGAGCTGTGTCCTTGCTTTGAGGCCCATGATTCCTCCAGCGCAGCCACCGGCACAGGGTGCGAACGTGAGAGCATTTGCAAAAAATCTCTCCGAGCTGTGGAGGCCAGTTAATCAAGCCCTTCCTTCTGCTTCTCAGAAACCCCGCCCCCTGGCTACCTGAGTGAAGATGGAGAAACCAGCGACCACCAGATGAACCACAGCATGGATGCAGGTCAGAGTCCTGCCCGTGTGTGCCCTGAATCCTGAGGGCCTGCCCCCCTTCTTCCCTTCCTCCCTCCCTCCTGCCCTCTTTCTTTCTTCAGCCCTCCCCCAGGCCTCTACCCAGTTCCTGTAAAACAGCCACCCGGCCAAGGGCTGAGGATAGAGGAGGAGCCTGGGCTGCTCAGAGCTGGTGGGAGACGGACAAGACAGGGGCGGTTCCTGTGCAGCTCTGTGCTCCCTGATGGAAGTTGCCACAAGGAATCGGGGCGCAGAGAGGGCCCCGAATCCAGCGTAGAGGGCAAGGGCTGGGGCAGAGCAGTACATTGCAGGGCAGGCTTTTCTTGAGCTGAGTCTTGGAGCTAGCTAGGTCTCAGCCAAGTTGTCCTGTCTGGCAAAGGGTGTGCCAGACAGAGTCCTGGGGGCACAAGGACAGCCGGGTGCATCTTGGGACAATGAACACTCAGTGTGTCCAGAGCCTACTCCTCCAGAATGGGGAGAGGCAGGAGGGCACGTCACTCAAGGCTGCAGGTATGGCTGGAGCGGGTGGGGAGCCACGGCAGGCTGTCAGCAGGGTCTGGGCCTCAGTGCGATGCCACTGGCCATGCCGGGAGAGTGGACTCCATCACCGGGCATATAGTTCCGGAGCCGCTGGCCGGTGGAGGCAGGCCCCCGGAGCGTCTATTTCTGTGTGGTGACCAAATGTGATCTGTGTGTTCCTCCTGTGCGGGACCCAGCCCAGCTGTCTCCAGCCACATCTCCAGATGTTCCCATGTCATTTATTATGGGACCAAACGGGCTCCAAACCAGTGGTTTCTTGAGTTGAACCCCAGCTGCCACATGGAATGTGCGGTTGGGTGAGGAGGAGGGAGCCAAGCAGATGTTCCGTTCCGATGGTGGCGGGCATGCCTGGTGCCCACGGAGCCGCTAGACAAAACACAGCCACCTGCCTTGTGCACAGCCCAAAAGAGAGCAGGCAATTTTTGAAAAATGGACGAGAGCAACTCTCATGCTCATTGTAAATGTAGTGGCTTGATACCCAGCCTGGGCATCATGATACTTTGGGGTTTAGCACCCTTCCTAAACTCTCCCCCCGGGTGAGAGGCTGGCAGTGTGAACCCCGTGGGAATGCATGGAAGACCTTCCTGGACGCGGTGCCAAGTGGCCATGGCAAGCTTGCAGCCATTAAATGCTGGCGTGGGAAGCAGGCCAGCTAAACAGCATCTCTCCAGATGCCACATCTCTCCTCACTCCCCCTTCCCTCGTCCCTCCTCGCTGCTCTCATGTTTGTGGAATGATTCCTGTTCTAAAAGAAAACAGACCAAAGGAGAGGGGCTGTGTAGGGGCTGAGCAGCGGCCACTTCGCCCCCTCCTCACCCGCCTTTGACCCCCTCTTCCTTCTCCTCCCATAGACGTACTTGCAGGGACCTGGTGTGAACATAGTGATTTATCGAAAGCAGACACAGGGCTTTGTGGGCCCCGGCCAGCCTGTGGGTGAGCGGGTGGGGTCAGCTATTCATTCTCCCTTCTTCACGCCAAGTTGTCCATTTGGAAGCCAGCCCAGTGCTGGTGGACACTGAGATGTGGTGGCTGGAGCCCAAGGACCCCCTTGTCCAGTCCTGGGTCTTCCCTAACACACAAGTCTGCTCGGATCCGTGAGAAGGTTCCGCAGCCTTCCTGGGTCTTCATGAGGCCCCACAAAAGAGGAAGCTGGTCTTTATGGAGTGCCTGCTAGGTGCCAGTCACGGGGAAGGCAGTTTGACATGCACGCTCTCCCTTCATTTCTACCAATCACACAATAGACGGGGTTATGTCCAACTGATGCCTGAGGTGGGAAATCAGGGCTCAGAGAGGTTAAACCTCTTCAGCAAAGTCCCACAGCTAATGCCTGGGGCATGGCCAGGCCCCTGATTTGGAAGTTCTGACTCCTCACCTCCACGATGGATCGGGTGCTGGGGGAGAAAAAGAAACCCATGTAAGAGCAAGAGCAAACCCCCAGGAGCAGCTCAAGGGGGCGTATATATGAGGACTGGTGGATTTCAGGGAGGAGCCAGACCCACAGGCTGTTAATAAACGAACAACTCTCCACTGCCCGGGGGTGCGGGACAGAGGAGGGACGTGCCCCTGTGCCCTGTGGGAAGGCACGGCACTCACTGGGATTTTGGAAGGTCTTTCCTGGGGCTGAGGGGTGGAGAGGTCACAGACTAGGAAGAATTGTGTAGGTTTGGACAGCATTGTGTCTTATATAAAACTAGAGGCTGGTGCACAAATTTGTGCACTGGTGGGATCCAGTGGGCTGCTCTGACAATAGCGGGCAGGGCCGGCCAGGGCGAGGGTCTGCGGTGGTTCCAGTCATTCTGGTCCTTCTGCCATCCGGTCACTGGGCTTTTATTAGATAAGATGTCAGCCTGGCCGCCGAGCTGTGGGATTTCTGAGGCAGCATGGTGGGTTTTCTGAAACCAGGGGAAATGGTTGGAATGGTATCTCCAGGTGCCCGAGCCACTGAGAGTAGTGGCTGGTGACGTCTGGGTGGCCACAGGCCCCACCTGTGTGGGACAGCTGGCCTTCGCTGCCTGGAGCTTTGAGGATCTGGGGAGAGAGCGTTTGCCGTCCCCTCTTATTTCCTGGGGGGCACAGTTCCCAGGGCAGGAGGGTGTGGTGTAGGGTCCGTTCCCTAGTTGGGAACTCGGCACCCCTGTGCTGTGGGTCCTGGGGGAGAGCATCACCCTGTCAGTCATGGCAGAGACCTCAAGGTCATCCGCTCACCCACGTTCCACAGATGATGTCACCTGGGCCCGTGGAGGGCCAGGATGGGCCAGGATGTGGCAATGGGCTTTCTCCTGGGCCTGGGAGGGTCAGCTCGGGTTGCTCTCTGCTGTGTTGAGCTGCCCCACCTGGATGTTAGGAATTGGGTTTCCAGCCACGAGTGTTTTATGAAATCTCACGCCTGTGTCTCCCCTCGCAGGTTCTCCAAACCTATCCCCAAACCCGATGTCCCCAGCACACAGTAACTTGGGTAAGTGTCTGCTCGTCTGTGTGTCTGTCTCCCCTCTCGCTGCAGCGCTGGCAGGTGGCCAATGTGAGGAGAGGGTCCTGAAGGCGAGGCTCCGCCCCAGCCCCCCCTACGGGCCAGCTCAGCCCATCGGGTTTCTGCTTACAGGGATTCTGGGGTCACCCGCAGAACGGAAACCTGAGAACAGTGGTGTGAGGAAAGGCAGCTCTGGGCCGGGTTGTGTTTCCCCCCTGTGATGCTGAGACGTGAGTGAGTGAAAACTCCCCAAGCCTCCTGCCCAGGAGCCGAGGGTCTGTGCTCAGCCAAGCGTGTGTGCGTGGTTGGATGGGAAGCCGACTCCAGCCCCCAACGTCCCTAGAGGTTTCAGATGCACTTACTTGGAGTCTATCTGAGCATTCCATGTTACAGTGATGTCATTTTTATTTAAAACAGACACATATAAGGAACTTGCGGGGGGGGGGGGGGAAGCAAAATTGCCCACCATCTCTCCACCCCAAATCATTTTTTATTTTTCTTTATCATAGTCCTTCTGATGTTTGTGGGTCAAGCACAGATATCTGTGCCTTGCCACTGTGATCATAGTGCAGTTGGTCTTAGGCTCTACAGCAGCGGTTCTCAACCTGAGGGTCGGGACCCACAGGTTGAGAACCACTAGCAGGGTCGCCTAAGACCATGGAAAACACAGATATTTACATTACGATTCATAACAGTAGCAAAATTTCAGTTCTGAAGTAGCAACGAAAAGAACATTACGGTTGGGGGTCACCACAACACGAGGAACTGTATTAAAGGGCCGCGGCATTAGGAAGGTTGAGAACCACTGTCATAGTGCATACCCGTTTTTTAATGTTTTTCCTCCTCTTTGTGCTTTTGGCAAACACATTCCCTCTATGATCATTTTGCATCAGCTCCTGGTGTTTGGAGCAGCGGGACCATCCTTTTCACCCTGTCCCTCAGCCCGGGGACTTCTGGGTCCATTTTCCTGAGATTTCCTTTTCTCCCCCCGAGCGGACCTCCGCTCCGGTGTGGGGCCTGCTGAGGGGCTCAAAGCCAACGACACATCCGTTCCCACTTTTATGGAAGGGGATGCTTTATGTGCTGGCCAGCAGCCTGAGGAAGAATGTGAGTTTGATTTTGTTTTTGGCCTCCATTGCTGGGGCTTAATGTGTGGCTCAGAAAAAGAAAGAGTTAACGCCCAAGCTTGGTGAATCGGAGGGGATTGGGCTGTCTCTTGTTTCCAGGCCCTGACTGATAGCATCAGGTGAAGAAAGCCATGGCTTGGACCAGGGAGAGAGGCTTGCAAACCCCCTGCACTATGGCCTGACCAGTGGGCAGTGTGAAACGCGACTTTGAGAGATCTGTCTTAACATCTTGGTAAAATAATATCACCGCGAGTGCTGGGCTTTGGACAGGGAAGGTCACATTGAATGGGAGAGGACTGACTGGAGTATTAGGAACAAACCCTGGAGGCCAGAAGCCATGCTCACACTTGAGAAAGGAAAGGTCATGGTTGTGAATTGGACTCTGGGCTTTGGCCTTTGAAGGTACTCCACCCCGTGACCCCGGCGGCACTTTCTCTCCTGGACTCTGCAGCAGGCTCACCCCTCGGAAGCCCCGCTGCCTGACTCAGGGGTCAGCTGGATGGTTGTCCCTTACTGTGAACTCCTGTCTGCCTTGTGTGGATGAGGATGTCAGGATGGTTCTCGAACGTGGACCCAAGGCAGAGTGCCCTGTGGTGGACACGTCCCTCCCTCCCCATTCCTCAGGCCCCTGGTCTGAGGGTTGAGAATTCTTAGGTCATTTCTTCCAAAGGTAGGAACAGGCCTCGAGCTGGGAAAGCAAAGAGTGGGTGCCACTCTGCCAGGAAGGTCTGAGTGGGGGGACGAGTCAGTTGACGAGTCAGGGTTAGGACTCATGGTGAGACACAGTGCTGACAGGCTTGGCTTTCTCTCAAGCCCTCGCACCCCCCACCTTCACCCACTTAAAACTATCAGCTTCAT